CTGGACAATACATGTGCAAAAGGCAAAGCCTCCCTTCTTTCCACTACTCCCTCCTCCCTACCCCCTGTGCCAAGAATCTTTGGCTTGGGCTTCCAGGGATTCCAGGGTATGAACTCTTGCCTCAACAGAGGCCCTTCCATTGGCATCCACTCGTAAAGTGGGGATGACTTCAGATCAGATGATATTAGAACAGAAAACACAGATGTATTCCCCTTCTCCGAATTAACTCCAGTGGATCCTTAGCCAATCCACGGTGACTAAACTCCCCACAAAAATCCATGTTCTCCAAAAACAAGAAAGATAGCAACTGTACCTTATGTTATGATCACACGCAAGAGCTCAGCAAAACTATACTCTATACTCTGTTGTGAATATAATTACACTGAAGGAAAGGTTATTTTTTTTTTTTCAAGCCCAGCATGCTCTGCTTTGTTTTTCTGTAAGAAAACTTCCTGAATTTCATTTCTTTTCTCTTCTTTTTTCTTTTCACACAAGAGAAGCAGCTGAGAAAATTTCCTGATCTAGTTTGTCAGACATGCTAGACAGTTTCCGTTCACTTTGAGGGGCTATTTTGGTTAGTTAACTTCTTAAAGTGCCTTTGGGAAATGCACCGTGGAGCTTGGTTATCTCAGTGAACCCTGGGCAGAGAGATTGGAGCCCCAGCTGTCCCAAGTCCTGACCTGCCGAGCTCTGGATAGAAACAGGGAATTCCAGTTACAATCCAGATTGCCTTCAGCCCGAGTCAGAGATCTCTCTGTGTCCTCTCTCCCTCTCTCCCTCTCGGACGTTGTAGGGCTCAATTCATCGCTAGGATCAGTATGGGCGCCCAGACACCAGGCTTAGTAAAGAGTCTCGTTGCCATACTTGCATGCCTGACCCGAGGGGTCACAGTGGAAACTACTGTTTGTTCCACCAGTGATTAGGGCCATCTTTCTTCTTTTTGCTTGTCTCTCCTATTTCTTATTAGGATGTTTAATTGACAACATTTTAGAGGATTACAAATGCTTGTGGGTTCTTTCTGTGGAAGCTGGAATTTTTTTTTTTTTTAAGAGGAGAAGGAAGGGACAAGGGGTCGGGAAGTTGAGGTTTCGGCGGGCCTCCCGTTGTGTTCCTCACAGTAAGCCCGCAGCCAAGGCTCTTCACAGTTAGAGGTGTAGAAGTGAGGGCATGGCGGGGCTCTGCTTAGAATCCTGTCTGGCCACTGACTTGCTCTGAGCCTCGCTTCCTTGTGCCTTCCTTACCGGTTGCTCTTCTTACCGAGTAAGATAGCGGGGGGAGCCACCCAGTCATGTACCAGACCACTGTCAGCAACCTGGAAGTCAGCCTGCCACAGCTCACTGGGCACTGGCAGGAGCCAGGAGACTCCGAATCAGAGTCAGAGGACTTTATTATGCTCGGCACACAGGCCCACACGAGCGTCATATGGACACTGGTTCCCCTTACCCTCAGACTCGCGCGGGAGTGACCTGGAGCGGCCCAGATGCATCTGCATCACGGCAGAGAAACTCCTAGGTGAGAGAGCTCAACTCTGTATTGCCCAGTGTTGGACAATCGACAAACCTGCCTTGTGCTCTTAGGAAACCTGAATCTTTTGTAAGGGGCTGCAAGCTAAGCTGCTGTTTTTCCACTGGGAGACACTGTCTCTATCTTCCAAGGTTGTTTGCTTTACAAACATCCTCGATAAGCCAGTCTAAGCTTGGGGCTGTCAGGGCCTTCGTTAGCAAAATGGGCATAAATACAAGAGAGCTGCGAGAGAATCGTCTCCCCGAAACATCTCCCAAGTCAATAAATTTTTACTGTTTTTACTATATGCCATTCATGATACTAGGTGCTAGGGACTCTTCAGGGGACAGGACACTCATGGTCCCTGCCCTGCTGGCCTGTCCGTGGGGACTCAGAATCCTTGCCCTGACATCGGAGTACTGATGGGAACAGTGGGACAGAATATTTCAAATTGGGACTTGATGGGAAATTCTACTACAGAGTCCCCAGACACACAGTGGGTGGTAAATAAATGTTTAAGCATATATTGTATGGCATATTTGGTCCTTAATTAATTTTAGATGAAAAAGCCTCAGATTCTATGGAAGGTTAAGGTAAACTCATCTTTTAGGTCCCGTCCCAGCATGGCAGAGAGAGGCCATACAGGCCTGGAACCAGGCTGACCAGGCAGGCGCCTTGGTTCTGCGTTCCTCCCCCCGACTTGTGTGGTCTTGGCCATGGCATTTGGTGTCTCCAAACTTCTGTGTATTCAGAGCACCTTTCCTTTTACGGCAGGACCCAAAAGTGCCAGGGACTACTGGCTGTGTGTATCCAACAGCCTGGACTCTTCCCTGCATATTGGGGAGCAGGGGGAGGGTTTCTAGCCAGAGGTCAGAGGCCCCTTAAAGCCTGAATGGTCAGTGTTAAGACAGGTGTGCAGACGGAAGTTGGGGTGAAGAGGTGAGGAGAGAGAAGACCAACGAGGAAAGATGGAGAAGCTCAGGGATGGCTCCAGAGTTGGTGGCTAGAGACCCTAGAAATCGCCAGGAAGACATTCTGAAAAAATCTCAAGCATATGTATTCTTAAAATAGATTCTACTGGGGCGCCTGGGTGGCTCAGATGGTTAAGCGTCTGCCTTCGGCTCAGGTCATGATCTTGGGGTCCTGGGATCGATCCCTGCATCGGGCTCCCTGCTCAGCGGGAAGCCTGCTTCTCCCTCTGCCTCTGCCCCTCCTCCCACTCATGCTCTCTCTCTCTCTCTCTCAAATAAATAAATAAAATCTTAAAAAAAAAAAAGATTCTGTTGGAACCCATCCAGATCAATCACCTTTTCTAAAGGTGCAAAACAGGTAGGGATTAAGAGTGTGGTCTCTGGTTCAAAATACTCCCGTTTGACCTCCAGCTCTTACCATAAGCAACTGGGTGATCTTGGACAAGGTATTTAACATCTCGGAGTGTTTTCTCAACTCTGAAATGGAGATAATAATACTCCAAATTTTGATGTAAGAATGAATTCAAATCATCCCTTACAAGACTTGAGCATAGTGTCTGTTTATGTCTGTTTTACAAGACTTAAGCATAGTGTCTGTTTTATGGTTAACTTCTCTGGAGCTGTTCTTAGCCTCTTTTGGCTTTCTATTGGATATTACACCTCAAACGACAAAAGCCAAGGTAGTCAGTCTCCTTGCAAACCGGAATCATCATCCCAGGCTGTATGGCCTCTCTCTGCCACTCCGTTTCTTTGAAGCCGTTTCTGGAAAGATTCCACGGTCTTCCCGCATCTCTCTCTGCGAGGGGTGTAGCAGGCTCAGGAGGAAAGCTGGGAACACGGGCTTCTAGCAAACAGATGCCGCGGCGGAGCCGAGCTGGATGCCGCGAACCGCCGCAGTGCTGGAGGCCAGGTCCTTTAAACCAACTTACTCTGTGAACTTGCCTTTTGTTTCTTTCCCCCAGGAGCCCCTTTGAGCTGAATTCACCCCATTTCTTTGCCTCAATAGCATACCAAGGATTTGGAATTTCCGTTCCCCGGGGGAGGGACTCAAGTGCCTGGGAGGCCATTTAGGTCAGCAGAGAAGTGGTTGGAAAAGTGCCCAGTCCTGAGCCCGGAGGGAGGAAAACGGCCACGCCACTGTCCACTTCGGCTCCTGCTCTGATAAGATGGTTCCCTCCCCAAGACACGGCTCAGTATTCATGAGATGGTTTCAGGATGGCACGTCTCTGTGGCTCAGACTTGTCTGGTGACTTGAGGATGGTCCGCTATGAGGGGATGGGTCAGCGCGGTCTCTTCTAAAGGAGAAGGGAGACGCAGGTGCGGACCTTTCTGTTGTCATGATCACTGGTTCACTGAGCAGCCGTTTCCTGAGCACCGGCCAGGCACCAGGTGCTGCTGCCGGGCAGCTGTGTGTACAAGGGGGACAGTCCCAGCGCCTGTTCAGCTTGGCCCAGGGTGGGCGGACAGGTGTAATCGCCATCGCCGCACAAATTGCTACGGAAGAGGAGAAAGGGGTGCCAAATAGGGAGATGTGTTTGAGTTTAGAGGGTTAGAAAGGCCACTCTGAGAGGCCACTCAGCCTCCAAGCTGAGACCCGAGAGGTGAAGAGGAGCTGACCAAAGGATGGGGGCGACAGGGTGGACGGTGCACCAGAGGCTCCTTAAATGGTAGTGAATTATTACCACAATGGCATTTACAGTTTTCTGTTTGTTTGTTTTTTTAAGCTAGGCAGTACAGAACTACTCCAGAATCTAAATCTGGAATCCATTTAGCACATCGTTGTATAATTTCTTGCAATATTGATGTTTATAGGCTGCCTCGCCAGCTGCAAACTTTGTGCCTGGGCTGGGCTGGGATCTGTTCTCTTTGGGGTCCAAGTCCCAGCCCCCAGCCCACTCCATGATTGTCGAATGGGTCATGTGCCAGGAGTTGTGCCGGGCAGCCAGCACATTCCCAGTTCACGTCGTCTCCCCGGTGGCCTTACGATGGGGGGAGAGGACTTTGTCACCCAGCTTCACAGATGGGGGAAAAGCAGGTTTGGCCACTGGGGGTGGGACTCAAGCCAGAGTCTGACACTGAGGCTCCTGCTCTTATCTGCCACCTTCCCTTTTTATATCTTATTATCTGACATCGTGGGGACCACCACTCTCACTCCAGGAAGAAACTTCAGGACTTATTATTATTATTTTTTTTAAGATTTTATTTATTTGTCAGAGAGAGAGCATAAGTAGGCAGAGCGGTAGGCAGAAGGAGAGGGAGAAGCAGGCTCCCCGCTGAGTAGGGAGCGGGATGCAGGACTCGATCCCAGGAAGGCAGATGCTTAACCTACTTAACCGACTGAGCCACCCAGGCACCCCCTTCAGGGCTTATTTTAACCTACACTTTCAGGAACGTTTTCACCTAACATTTTGGATGGATTCTGGTATAAGCGCATCTTGAGAGGCTGCAGGAGAGGTGTTGGCCACACTGGATTTATCATCCCACGTCAGGTTTTATGTGTTAATCGCACGTTTCCTTTGTTCCAAGGTGAAGGAGGCCCCTCAGGAGGCTGAGATGGTGTTCGCGGCGCGTCGCCCAGTGGTGGCCTTTCAGATGAGCGGGGACTCGTGGCGGGAGCAGAAGGAGAAGCGGGCAGCCGTGATGGTGGGCATTCTCATCGGCGTGTTTGTGCTGTGCTGGATCCCCTTCTTCCTGGCGGAGCTCATCAGCCCCCTCTGTGCCTGCAGCCTGCCCCCCATCTGGAAAAGCATATTCTTGTGGCTTGGCTACTCCAATTCTTTCTTTAACCCCCTGATTTACACAGCATTTAACAAGAACTACAACAACGCCTTGAAGAGCCTCTTCAGCAAGCAGAGATAAACCCAGGGCTCGGGGAGACCTGCAGGTAGGGCCGTGGGCAGAGAACTGCTATTTCTTTCCGCCCCAGGTATCTGGGAGCCTGGCCCCACAGCAGAGTGCCGATGACATCAGAGCCGTACCACGGGGCCTGGACGGTAGGAGCAGCGGTGCCAAAGGCTCGCCGGGAAAGACAGCGCATGCGTGGCAAGCGTGCAGCTACGCCCTCTTCCCGGGTGTGTGGCAGACATTGCTAATCGATCGGGGCACGTTTCTCCACGGAGCGGGACCTCTGCCTCAGGATCCTAATCAGCGCTCTAGGTACTGCTAACTGGCTGGAAGGGACACAGGAGTCGAAGCTGACTTGCCTTTCCTTTATTTAATACCCTATTCCTCCGAGGGGATCCCTCGGCACAGAGCCCCAGGTGGCCTGTTTTGGGGCCCACTCAGGAGACTGTCTCCTTTGTGAAACAGCCCCCACCCCGTATCCACCTGATTCAACTTACCTTCCCCAATATCCAAGGCGGTGTATCCCAACTGGGGAGATGGGCATCATCTGAACGTTGGTTTTTTATTAAAAAAAAAAAAAAAGTGTCTGGTGCAACCCATTATCTACTGAATCAGACTTTCGGAGAAGTCTGATAATTATATTATTGAGTTCTTTTTTCATCAGTGAGAGACAGTGCTAGATACTTAGATTGTTCTTTAGACCAATTAAATTGGCCTTGGGCGGAGGGGGGGGGGGGGGGACTCAGGCAGGAGTGCTTTTTAAAGCTCCCTAGGGGATTCTAGCCGGCCAGAGTTGAGGATCCCGGTGGGGTCCTTTCTCTGCTTCTGAACAAGGGAGAGCAGCTATGAGAAATGTTCCCACCACTTCACCATACACACTTGTATGTGTAATAAAAATACTATTGAAGCACTGATTTCTAGGCTCAAAATCATTCATATGTATGACTGATCACACACACACACACACACACACACACACATTCACATATGCCATCGAAACAGGGATGACTGCAGTCTAAGACACAACAATCCCAAACTGCCATAGTGAATCTTGGCCTTCCTGAAAATACCAAATGTGGCCCAAGTATATAGGGGTCCAAGGGCCTGGATGAGGGGGGATACCTAGGCTAAGTCATGCTGGCCACAGTCCGCCTGATTTTGGGAAGGGCTGGTTGCCTACTGATTAGGTTTTTTCAATATACCCAAGACAGTACACTCCCGCATCGGCTCACCAGATATTTGAGGTATGTAGACATTCTTTAAGCTTATACTATAGAGGACCTGTACTTTGGGGTTTATCAGAGAATAGAGGTCCACAGTGCCTTTTCCAAAATCTTTGGGGCCAGATGGGCTTTGGAACTTAGAAGTGTTTTCAAGTGTTAGAAAGGCAATATGGTGTATATTGCATAAGTTAGCTAACACCCCCAGCTCGGTTGGGGGCAGCAGTCTCTACTCAACCTGTGCAGTAAAATGTATGAATATTTATACTGTGAGAAAAGACTAAAAATAGCTAGCTAGCACAGAGTCAGATCAGATTTTGTCATTGAATGTGTTAGAAACCACCTCTGGTTACCAAACTTTGGTTTTTGCAATTGAGGACCCGTACCTCAAACCATCCACAGTCCCAGCTTTGCTGCATGTCAACCCTGTTGAGGGGAGGGATTCTGAAGGCAGTCTGGGGAGAGTACGTGGTTCAACTATTCCTTTGTGGCTAGCGGTTGGGACACCACAAAGGTGCTTTGTATGGCTTTCTACGACAGCTTTCTTGGAGTCCTATTTTGGAATTTTATTCTTTCATTGGAAGATACTTGAAGAAACACTCATGTGAAATATGTCAATGCACTTCACATAAAAATGTGAAGTCCTCTGTTTTCACTCTTTGTGAAGCATGTTTTCTTATGATAATGACTTTTATTATGTTTCCATTTTTCCCTTGATCAGGAAGAACAGAACCACATTTCTGGCCTAACTTTGGAATCTGTGTAGGAACTGGCATCCTATTGATTTGTGTCTAAGGTTTCTAGCCAGTCTATAATTCCAATTCTTACTTAGGTTTTCCCTATCCTAGTGTTTTCTGTTCTATTTGTATTTTACTATCCTAGTCTGTGTATTTCCTGCAAGCCACCTCAAATCCTCTGTGAACCAAGCCAGGAAAGAAAGGAATGGGCACATTGTTGTGTTTGAAGGGTTAGAGCTCACGCTTGGGGCTATTGGGGATTTTGCCCTATCCGCTGAAACACACTAGGTGGTGTTAGAGATCTTCTTCCCTGTCCCTCTCTTCATACTGTTTATCAAGCATCCACCATGTGTTGCTGCTGTACTAGGTTTTAGATACAAATGCTCATTTGATCCTACATCTATCCTGCGAGGTAGGTACTGTCCTCATCGAACCCCATTCCGAGGGTAAGTAGCCTGCCTGTGGTCACACATGAGTACATACATGGCAGAACTGGTATCTGGACTCAAGTTGACCTGTATCCAAGCATGAGGAAGGACGGGAACTCAACAGAAGTCGGCCTGGACTCCATGTTTCAATGTTTGCTTGCGTTTTGCAGCATGAACGCTGTACCTGGTGTAGTGGGTCTGCTTGCATTGTTCTAGTTGGATTCCAGGCAGGAGCCTTAGAGGAAGAATCTAGGTAGAGTTGGTGAGGGGCACTTGTGGAATTTTTTGGTTTACTCTTCCTTCTGGGTAGGATGCTTTATGATCGTGTTCATTTGCCTGGGCTTTGGCTTAATGTAGGATCATGATGGAAGCATCCCAGGTGGAAGGAATTACATATGTGGAGCCCTTCTTAAAAGGAGGTTGCTTGCTTGCTGATTTGGTGGCAACTTCTATTAGACCTTTCAGACTTGACCCTTTTCTTCAGTTAGGGGGACCTTCCCTAACCACCACTATAATTACAAAATGCTTAATTTCTGAAACAGATCAGTTGATGACTGACTCTCTGTAAGGCTGCACCTGTAATTCCTTTTAATAAGAGTATCAAAATAAGTCTATTGACAAAGTACCTGATTTATAATGAACATTGCAGGAACTGCTTTAATAACCATAATGTCTCTGCTCTGCCTCAAATCTCTTTGCTTGCAGTACCTAAGACGGGGGTGGGAGGATGTAAGAGGAAATAGTCTCTTCCTTGTCGAGATTCATTTGCTAAAGTATCTTCATGTCAGAATCCAATTTCACAAAGTTCCAGGTCTGTAGGATGGATGGGGCTAACCCAGTGGTATTCTTTATAATGCAGTCATGTACAATGGATAAAGTATGCTCCCTTTCTCCCCTTTAGCATGGCCTCCATGTTTCTTCATGCCATGTTGGACGGGAATTTGGATTCTGACCATGACTGCTGTCCAGCAAGAGCATCTATCCCCACGTGGGTACTATCCCTAGAAGCCTGCTCTTCTGGCCCCTGACCTGGTCCCTCTACACTAACACTGGGTAGTACAGAGAAGTGTCTGAGTCTATGAAATGTCTATAAGTTGGCTGGGATCTCACCGATCCAGGCTGGGCTCTTCTGGGTCCAGCTTCAAGCAGCAGTTTGTTTGGGTCTAGGTCTGTTCCATGTGTCCCTCAACCTCCTTGGGCCAGCACGGTATGTTATTTTCAAGAGAGGTGAGCAAGTGGGCAAGCCTGACCACTCAAGCACGCTTCCAAACTTTTGCTCATAGCAAGTCTGCTAACAACCCACAGACCAAGTAAAAGCCCAAAGTCAAAGGATGGGGAAGAGCATTCCACCCACCAGGACGCCACGACAAAGGTGTCTGTTCTGGGGGAGTGAAGAATGGCAACAAATAATTCAGTGTTCCATACGTGAAAAAGGCAGAACATAAAAAATCAGAGTGTGGTATAAAAAGAGTAAGCACAGTGTCTAAGACTTTTGTTTCTGGTATATGTTCATCTGGATTATCAGTCATCTCTTATCTGGGGTCCTTGCTGTTGCCCTTGCTTCCCTGGTCTGTGGTCAGCACAGCTCCCAAGGTGTCTCTGTTGAAATCTCCAAAGCCTCCAATGATTCCCCACACAGGTACCCTTCACGTTCCTCAAAACTCACCTGCTGGGCCTGCTTCTACCTCAAGGACTTTACACTCAGTAACCCCTCCGCCTGGCATCTCCCTCACACAGGTATCCCTCACCAGGTGGCTCATTCCCTCACTAGTCATCAGTTTGTTTGTATTTATTTAATGCTAAGAACACAGATATCCTGAAGAGACAATGGAGAAAGTTTTTTCTAGGCTGGATTTTGATCATAAAAACACTAATGATTCAAACTTCTGAAACAAAACAGCACACAAATCTAGAAAATGCAAAACACATTTTATTTCTTACCTGAATTAAGTTGAAAACATGTAAATGTTATCTTTAAAAAATACCAATATTAGGGGCCTGAGTGGCTCAGTTGGTTAGGCATCTGCCTTCAGCTCAGGTCATGATCTCAGGGTCCTGGGATCGAGCCCCACCTTTGCTCCCTGCTCAGTGGGGAGCCTGCTTCTCCCTCTCTCTCTGCCCCCCTCCTGCTTGTGTGTGTGTGCACACGCTCTCTCTCTCAAATAAAATCTCAAGAAAAAAGTTATCAAAATTAAATTCATGCAGAGAAACTACCCATAGCTTTTAAACCATAGAACACCTGGTTTTCTATAGGACAAAAATAAAAGGATGTAAAATAATGTGCAGTTTATAGAATTCAAAGAAAATCGGGGTGGCTAAGAGTCGGTGAAAGAGGCAATTAGGGGCAGGAGGCATTTTTTAAGGTAGACACTCTGGTGACATCTACAACAAGCCTGGAGGGAACCAGGAGGCTGACACCGAGCAGGCCCTGACAGGGGGTACACCACTGGGTATGTGCAGTGGCCAGCAAATTAACTGGTGCTCTGGTGAAGTTTCCGGAATGACAACCAAGGTAGTTCCCAGTAAAGGATGTGAAGGTAGTCCCTAACTATTCATTATAAAATTGCAAATCACCACCAAACCAGACACTCCCGATCCTTCTTCCTTAACCAGTATGCTGAAGCAACACGGCTGTAGCTTACATGGTCTTACCTTGCTTGTAAGTCTTCCCCACTGGAATGTAGTGAAGGCAAGTTCTTCTGTCTGCTTTGTTCACTGCTGTATTCCCAGGGCCTGACCCACAACAGAAGCTCAAATATTTGTTGGTTGAATGAAGGAGCTACCAGGGATTTATTTTTCTCATGGAACAAGAAATATGGGGGCAAGGGGTCTCTGGGTTGGTTCAAGAGGCTCGCCATGCATTCAGGGAACCAGGCTCTTCCCATCTTTTCACTCTGCCAAGCTCCCCGTGTCGGGATGTCTCTTCTCATGGTCTCAAAATGGTTAAGGCTGCTCTAGACACCTTGTCCTTCCCCAACAACTTGCAAGAACAGAAGCTCTCTTAATGCACCTTGTGCTGATTACCAGCAGCAACGTCTCCTTGGCTCAGGGGTACCATCTCCATCTTTTGCACCCCAAAGCCAGAGGGACAGGGGTGGTGCTGTGACCCTCACGAGAGAGGGGCAAACCGCTTCACGGTCCACCACCCCCTTGCCGTCCCCTCACTGCTTCCTCTCCCTATAGCTGCTCTGTCAGAAGAGGTGAGCCCCCTTTCCACTTCCCTATTTCCCCCCAAGACCGAAGAAAAGGAGACATTAATTACTTTGGGCATAGGGCTTTAAATTCCTAAGGAAAGCAGACTTATCAAACATGAATCTTTTGTCATGTTTC